GAGAGAGAGAGAGAGATAGTGAATGAGAGCGATAGTGAGTGTGAAGGAGAGGGAACTGTACTATACTTGAGAAGAATATTTTGCTGCATAAATTACCATCCAAGATCCACACAAAACACAATAAAATTTCCCAAAATGCATTATTTACTGCACAGCTCCGGAATCGAATCAAAGCACTTTCAATCCACCTAAGCACTTGGATATGTACCTCTTAGTGTGCATGTGCAAGCATTGTCTAGGCGGTGTATAGATCTCCATTCGCTGTGTGCAAATTGAACATTGCATGAAAATACAATAAAATAGAAAATTGAAGATTTATATTCCATTTATGTGTGCATGCATTTAGCAGAGATGCTCATTTGATCCGAGTATTGTTATTTCTTTTCTCCAATAGACGATACATACATGTACGATGATGCAGCCAGAGGATCGATGCGACCACATCATCTTGGCCATTGGTATGATGAGCCACCGTACGAAAGTGACCCCGACGACTTTCTTATGTCCGGCATCAATGCTGGACCAGCAGCAACGATACAGGTATTTATTCAATTTCATTTATTTTGTATCACTTTGATGCACAACATTCGTCGTTTACAACATCATCGGTTGAAATGTTAAAGGAATCCCATTGAAATTCAATGGAACGCTTTTGTGTCACATTAAAATCATAATTGTTGATACATTTGGTCGGAAATTCTCTTTTTGTACATAATTTTTTTGGTTTGCCTATGCAATACTTTCTCAAATACTTTTGAAAAGTTTTTACATTCTCCAAACATAAATTGAAAATCAACATAAATGTTAGAATTTCCGAACTTTCAAAACGTTCGACGTCGATGTTAGCATTAGGGTGGTTCAAACTCACACCGTTGCTGCAAGGGCATTACCACTGGCATTTAACGTACGGCTCTATCGACCACTAGATTTTAACTTTTTTTTTTATCTGAAAAAGGGAATCAGCTAGTTTTGAGCCCAATTTAATTTTAAGCTTATACCTTACCATGATAAATCAGTTTGGATCACCCTAGTTAGTATTCACCGAGCGTCAACAACATTTGGTCTGATTTAATATATGATGCACTAGAAAGGTGGTGCTTTGTACGTTGTAAATCAGGGAATATTTTAATATTTGTTTGTTCATAGAAATGGGAAAATGTATTCCATGATCAATGACTGTGTCAACTCGAATGATTTCTACATTTTCCTTCCCTTTTCCGCATTCACATAAAGTCAGAGACTCTGACACACACACACACACACAGTGTACCATTTTCCGTATGCCTTCAAACGGAGCCCTGTTCGATATTTTGTTTTCAAAGTGTATAACATGTGGATGTTACTAACCGCTCAAACATTCATAAACGCAAAAGATAAAACGCAAAGTATTTGAATAATGCTGCTGAGTCACAACTAAAGCATTTTCCATAGAAAGTCCAAACAATTTCAACTGTTTTCTCGCACAAACATGGGGGAAGCGTTGCGTATTACATCGACGAGTATGTTGTTGTTTTTTTTCTACTACACTTTGAACAAAGTTGAAGTTTGCCAATATGAACTCATTCCGTTGCCGACAAATGTTTTATCACAAATGTGTAAACGTCAAACCTGAAAGCTTTTTTGGCTGTTTGTTTAACTTTGGCAACGGAATGTGAATGCGAACGAGTGATTGTTGCAAAAGTGAGTTAATGTTTTTATGTACGAATTTAAATCGAATTATATGATGGATTTTCGGTTACTTCGATTTGCTACAGTTACAACTTCAACCGAGAGTACGGAGATGAATGACATAAAGTACAGCGCGATTACAGTCTTTTCCACACAAAGTTTTTCTATAACATTGTGCCACATTGTACTTCTGTTTCAAATAAATATGAGTAAAACAAAGAAAAGCGAATGCAAACCAACAGATTTTCGCTGACATACACACATATCTCTGCCGCGTTCAATTTCTCTATAGCATTCCGCGCACCCCCACTCCGTCGTTTTGACTGGTTTTAAAATATGCTTTTGCATTCCCATGCCATAGTTTGTATGTTTTGGTTGGCATTTACTAGTCTTCTTGTCTCTATCCGACGACTGCAAGTACTGATGACACTGCTTCTCCTTAGACACACAAACCATAATCATTAAAAATGTGTTTTGTTCATCGGTACATAGTTGGAAAAACAAAATCTACACTAATTCTTCTTACAAAATTCCGAATAGCGAAAGCACAATCGTCAATTTCAATTTTAGTGTGCGGAGGATTCATGTGTATGCGTTTGTGTACGGGGTTTTTGTGTTTACTGTAGATAAATTGCCACATATACAAGGTATTTTTTCACGAAACAACAACAGTTCTTTCCATTGACTTAAAATGTCTTAAGATCTTTTATCCGTGTGCTCTCTCTCTCTCTCTCTCTCTCTCTCTGTCTCTCTCTCTGTGAAATCCGAGCAAATGTATATGAATTTACGATCGGATGAGTTGCTGCGCATGAGAAATGTTGTTTGCTTTAAAATTGTTTTCTTTCTCGTGGAACATTTTCGCTTACTCTCGCCGAATTGATTGAATAAGAGAACAATGTAACGAGGACGGACAGAGCGGGGAGAATGAGCGACAGAAGGAAGAAAGCGAACAAGAGATAGAAAGAAAAAAAGGCAACTTGGCAAAATGTTACTTAATTTGGGAGAAGATATCCCAAAATTCTAATCCATTGTTAAAATCCGAGCTCAATTTTCTTCGATAGAACTTTGTAATCAAGTGTTGTTGTGTGCAAGAAACAGTTGTCCCCATCGAAAATAAACATATTAACCACTACATTATCACTGCTTCGGCTTCAACCCACAGAGCACTCATTGGGTTTATTCCTTTGTCAGTTTCCATAAAATTGTACAGAAACATGTACCGAACATTTGGTTGGACTTTCGACTCTTGTTCTCTTCGGTTGTCATTGTCGTCGGTCCTTTTCGATAGCAATGATGACAGCAGCCCAGCATTGTCAACAACACTAGAATTGCACGTTGTATCCATAAAAAGTTTTCCATAAATGAGCACACATTTTCTTCAATTTTCATCGAACAATGTCAAAATCTTTGGACGTGTTGTTTTGTTGTTACCATACATGCCTAGTGCATCGCAACGGTGTACACGAAACACACTTTACAAGTTAATACACGTACGAACAATGTGTATTTATCGTGCAGATTTCTAATTAAGAAGAAAACGTAAAAGTGTTGATTAAATTTTCTGGGTTTCGAATTTCCTCGACTGCAGTCGAGCTTCACTCGATACTCGAAGTTCAATTCAATCACAATGAACGAATGTGTATTTTACACAATGAACGTCAATTATCCGTTGTGTCAGTGTAAATGAATTGAAACTCGAAAGTTGTTTCATATTTGATTGTTGTTTCTTTAGAAAATTTACAGAGAAAAAATCTTAACAATATCTTCATCAAACGACAGCGGTTGAATTTGGAAAAATCGAACAATTATTTTGGTAAAAAAAACGTCCATTTGTTCACGCCATTACAATGAAATGTTCCTCTGCTTTCCCTCAAAAGACACAACAAACGGTGACATCAACTTATCCTGTTGTTGTACGAACGAAAACACCGATTGAAACATCAGCAGCCATTTAATGTGAGCCATTAGAATGCTCAACACTGCATCGAATAAAAAAAACCAGAAAGGAAACTAAGGGAAATGTACGGAAAGAGGACAGAAGTCAAAATAGAAATAAATTGTAATAATACGATCGTCGACGAAGAAACTAAGCGGCAACGGTATTTCGTTATGTGTGTGTGTGTTTGCGTACGTGTTAGTACCTTTGACGCGCGTTCAACTGTACTCGTGTCAAGAAATTCGGATTACAGTTTATTGAACTGCTGTGCAAACTGTAACACACACACATAGACACTTATCATTCTTTTGTTTGTTCAGTGAAACATGTTGAACCCAATCAGAATGAATGTCATTGCTCATCGACTCAGCTCAAAGTGCAATTATCTATTTTTCAATGGTTGCCTATCCCCTTGGGGTGCTTTCGAAAATCGCATTATATTGATACACCGATGTATTGATTTTTGTTTTCCCCCATTCCAATTCAAAGCTCGACTACTTTTGACACGTCTCTCTCTCTCTCTCTCTCTCTCGCCCTCTCTCATCGTCTCTCTCCTTATCTTTCTCTCTCTATCTGTCGAATGCATTCATTTTAATTGACAGGAATTATTCCACCTCGAAAATGATTTAGGAATTTCAAGCGAAATCAATGTCAAAGCGGTGGCAATCGATAGAAGTCAATATGTATTTTAATGAGCATGTTCCTTCTCTTGGCACATTCATTTAAGAGGTTTGTTATGAAATAACATGCAAATGGCGGCATTAATTACGTAATGTGATTAGGTTCGAGGTCTTTGAGCGGAAAATGGTTTTTTGTTTACTTATTTCCTCAGATTAAATGCTGATTTCTACATAATTGCCAATTACTACGTTTATGGCAACAGCGCCATTGCATTTAAATCACAACAAAAGGATTTAATTAAAGGCTTTTTTGTAAATGTTACAGCTACTATTCGTGTGCATTGCATATGCACATACGAATGGTTTTTCTCTCTTACACACACGTTTCCATTCCGCGAACTCTTTTTGTTTGAAGTAGCAAATGAATTCAAGAGATTTATGTAATGTAAAATGCTGTAAAATGTGGGAAAATGCAAATGCAATTCGAGAAAAGATCCATGGCTCATAGTAATTTCCATACAGAGAAGAAAAAATGCCCATTGAGTAACACGAAAAATCGCTCTCGGAAAAGCTATTCACAAACTTGATAATAACCAGTTTTATAAGTTTTTCTCTTCCAATTTCTCATTCAATCCAATATGAAATGCTACCATGTATTGCATTCGAGGTCGAATACTGATATGCAAAAGACTCTTTGAAGCTGTCTTGGGGCGGTCGGAATCTAAATCGTAATAGAGAAATGGAATGGTCTGCATGAAAAAAAAGGCCAACAACTGTTGGCCATTTAAAACTAAATAGAGAAGCATTTGATAAAATCAATCCTCTGAAATCCCGCTCGCTACTTTCATTCCATTTATGTTCTATGCAACACACTGTACAGTGTACACACTACACGTCTCCCTTATTCTATAGTTGCTCCGGTTCGAGAGAATGTGTGCTTTCTTCCCTATTTGCAAGTAAATGAAAAATGGCCAGTTAGAGCTTGAGCGTTGCATTTCAAGTGTAAAATGCATGAAAACCCAACAAGATATTAGGCTTTGTAAGTTTGGTTTTGCGAGAAAAAAAACACCAACACTAAAAAAAGTTATGATTTCATAAATTGTGAATGGGCTTAGAATCAAACGGTTTTTTCCACCATTTTTCTGCATGGCTGTTTGATGTTCTTTTCCGTATTGGTTTTGCTCTTGCAATGGCAGAACATTTTTTTCTCCTGTTCATTTTCCCTTCGCTCCGTGTGGCGTTCGCTTTTCATGTTGTTCAATACATTGTTTTGAATTCTTCGCTCTATGGTTTGAAAAAAGAGATTATGGCATCTT